ATTTCACTGGGGGACGTTGAAACGAGAACATTTCACTTTATTAGTCTTAGCCAAGGAAGCTAACGTCGACCTGCCTATTCGTATAGTTATCGATCCAGTGGCCGGCACGTTATCCTTGTCAACCTGGAGCATGTGAGTCAATGCTCAGCAACAGCCTATCGCCAGTTTGATCGCCGCAACCATTTTTGGAATGGCCGGTGGGGTTTCGGGATATTAAGTCTTGTACAAGGGGTTCTGTTCATGCTGCCTGCCGGATTAAACTTTTTAACGAAGTGAACCCACACTTCTGCCTAAGTCTTTTACGATATATATACAGAATTTTAGGGGTTCCTATTACTTCATAGGTAAGTCGGAACACCCCCATTCGGCCACCCCCCCCATTCGGCCACCCTAAAAATCCCTCCCAGCCCCCTTAATTAAAATCCTACCCTTAATTTATAAACTATTATAATAATTATAATTATTATCTAAACGAATTTCTTTTTAATATATATATTCTTTATTATATTATAATATCGTATATTAAAAATAAAATTATTTAAGCGCTTAAAATAATTAGAAGTAGTACTTTAGTTAAGAGGGCTTTAATTAAGTTTAGTATTTTAAAGAATATATTTTAAAATTATTAACGAGGTTAATAAGCTAGGGTAATTGCTTTTATTAACTAATAGAGGCTTTTTTTTTAATAAAAAAATAAGCTAGCTAAATAAGTTCGTATTTAATATATTTTAAAAGTTATATTAATTTATAAATAAGTTAAAGAATTTATTAAGCGAGTTTTATAAGCTTAAGGAGATAATTATCCTTTTAAAAAGAGATAAATAAATACTTTTTTAAAATAGAACTTATTTATTAAGGTTTAAAAAAGTCGTTTTATAAATTTAAAGTATATTAATAGAGTATTTATTAAAGTAATTAGGCCTTAGTTCTAATTACTTAATATCCTAGAGATTAAGGATATTAGATAGGTTAATAAATATAATATGAATAAGATTAATATCCTCAAGGATAAGGGATTTAATAGGCTAGTTTTAAGTATAGCTAAAATTAATATAATATAAAAAAAGAGCCTAAATTACGTTCTTAGATTTTTATTATTAAGTATATTTTTATTAATAATAGAGCTATTAAACTATTACTAATTTATAAAAAAAGTCGGTTTAATAATAATAGTTTCCCCTTAATTTTAAAAATCTTAATAATTAGGAGTTTATAATAATAAATAATAAGTAGATTATAGACTAAACTACTCTTATATAGTTAAGGATAGTTTTCTTATTATAAACTAAGCCCCCCTTAACTAGGGGACTTAACTTATAATTAAAGCCTCGATTATTAATTTTAAATAAGTATAGGAGTTATATAATAATAGAATTTATATAAAAGTACTATATTAATAACGTTTATTTATTATTTTTATTACTATATACCTCTTATATCCTCTAGTTATTAAATATAGCTATTTTTAGTTTTATTAAAACCTATTATAAAAAGGAGCTTAATAAGGAGGATATAGTAAATAATTTTATTATTATTAAAAAGCGGTACTTTTTAGCTTATTATATTATTACTTATTTACTTAGTTTAATAAGAGATAATATACGAAGTAGTTAAAAAGTAATTAGCTTATAACTACTTAATATAATTATATTTTTTAATAATCCTATAGTATTATTTAGCCTAGTTATATTATTAAATAATATTATTAATACTAAGTAAATAATTACTAATATTATTAAAGTCGTTAATTAGACCTTTATAGCGTTTATTATTAACTAGTTAACTCCTAAAAAAGCTAGTAATTTCTATAAGTAGTTAAAGCTATTTATAAAGCTTAGGCCTAATTATAATACTTAACGTTTACTTTTTTATAAAATTAAAAAAGCTTTTAATAAGAAGTCCTTTTTATTAATTTTATTTTAATAATAAGTTTAAGTTTTAAAAACTAGAGTTAAGTATATAGTTCTTAAAAAAAAAAAGAGTATTTAAATAAACTTAAATACTAAGTTCGCTAATATTAAAAATATAAAGAGGGCTTAAGAAAATATTAATAAGTATTTAATTAGTCCTAATTAAACTATAGAGGTCGAATTACTTAGTAAGGGTAATAGCTATATTATAATAGTAATAGAAAGTAGTTAATTAATTAACTATAGTTAGTAGCGATATACCTAGACCTACTTTTAATAGGGTGGCCGAATGGGGGGGGTGGCCGAATGGGGGTGTTCCGACTTAGTCAACACCTAGAAATAAATATATATAAAGTATTTTACCTTACCTATAGACTGTGCAGCAACAACATCTCACCAAGCCTCTTCATTACAACACGATCCATTCTTCCACATACCCGTCTGCTTTATGGCCACTCAAGCCTTTAGCAGTCCCGTGCCTCTCACGTCCGACGAGGAGGAATTCATGAAGCACGAGCACGAGCGTGTCAAGTTGACTGACAGTCAACAAAAAGCCTTCGACATTTGGGCTGGCCCGAAAGACCCCGACGTGTCTGATGCGAAGTATTGGATTGAAAAAAACACCGAGCTCGATTTCAATGCCTTCTCGTTCAAGTGTCTCAACCTCCTCATTAAGCAGGCGGTATGGAGATACCACCATTGCTCATTCAAGGTGAGCCTCTATAGGCCTGAAGTCCAGTCACGATCACTGATGCGTTTCAATTGACTCTGGAACAACTGGTTGTCGAACGTCCCGGGGCAGGTCTTAATCTTGGACGTATGCCCAGTCTGAAAGAGAGATTTCCTGTTTTGTTCCTGGGCGAATGGGAAGCCGTCACGCTTCTGGTCCGCGAATGTTGCATGATGAGGGTTGTTAACGAATTGTCTGATAAACCTCAGTGGTGGCTCAAGGTCAAAGACGACAGTATTGCTACAAAGTGGAAATCAGAGGCTTTGACAATCGACTGGGCATCGTATATCGAGAATGCTCACTTCACTCCTTCTATGGCCGATGCGGTAAGGTGACTTGTGTCTTCATTATAGTATATCAGCGCTAACGACCTCCAGTGCATCAGTGAACTACGGAAGAAAGCGGAAGTGTATGAACAGACAGGGCTTATGCCGGTCTACGATTACTGCACTGCCGTCATCAAGTCTGACAGCATCCTAAACCCCGAGTTCGCCAAGTGTATCCAAGATGCTGTCAAGCCACTTGAGGATGTCCCCTCAGACTGCAAAGACTGGCACCCTAACAGCAATGATCAAGTCTTAGATTTGGTCCATCCCTCCCTCTGGCCTTTGGTATACGGTAGCTCTAAGGTGCTTCATGATCGCACAATCGGCGTTGATGACGCTCTTGAATACTGCGACATGGGTACTACAATACGCCAGCCGACAAAGGCGGAGGCTACACTATCTCCTGCCACTTCTTGGAGGAGTACTTCGAGAAACAAGGTGTTGAGCAGGGAGTTTCAATGGCTACCATGTGATGTGGACCTCGATCGAATCACAGGAAAAGCCAAAATTGCAAGCTACATCAACAACCTTCATCCTGTAGAGCAGGCTCACCTCTATCCAATCATCGAGAAGCTCATTGAGAAGTCTTTGCCAGCTTGGGATCTTCTCTACAACTGGGAGGATAAGTTTGCGATTCAGCGTCTCGTAACATCCAATGTTCAGAAGCCAGTGTGCCCTTGTCCGGAAATCTGCGGTCGACGCCGTGCATGCAGGCCCCAGGCACGCCCTCTCGCCGAGGGAGAAGTCCCACGAAACCGAAAGGATCTGGGACGCAACGCTCGTGACAAAGCCTGGTTCAGAGAGACTCATGGCCCTGCGCTTCCTGACGCTGACCCCGAGGCCAAAGATCACGTCAAATTCGCCGCCTGCGACATCAGAAGCAGTGGCTTCTTTGGATGCAAAGACCGCTGTCAAGTCATTGTCAAGTTGGCCAATATCCATCTCACGCCAGAGAACCCTGAATACAAAGGTGGCTCTTGGCATACTGAAGGTCTTCTGAACGAACATATTGTCAGCACAGCACTGTACTACTACGATTGTGAGAACATCACGGACTGCACTCTCAACTTCCGGACATGTGCCAACAGAGAAGACCTTGACGATTCTGGCTCACGAACCTCGCTCGACTATGAGCAGTACGACTGGTGGAGTATCAAGCAGGCATTCGCAATCGAACCTCGTGGCCACACATTTCAGAATGTGGGATCAGTACAGACAAAAGGCGGCCGGGCATTGTTCTTCCCTAACCTCCTCCAACATCAAGTCTCTCCCTTCAAGCTGGCAGATCCCTCAAAGCCTGGCCATAGGAAGATTGTAGCTCTTTTCCTCGTCGACCCAGCCATTCCTATCATCAGCACGTCGAACGTGCCGCCTCAACAGAAACACTGGTGGCCTGCTGAGCCTAAGACTGGTCCATTGCCCGCCCCAGCATCAGATGACCAGGGATTGATTCAGTGGGAAACGGCTCAGGAAGAGTGGGTTGACTCCGAAGACGCTTGGTTGAAGGCTCGAGAGAGTTGGGAACAGAGCCTTAGCAGAGATAAGTGGCCCATTGGAATGGAACAGGCCAAGGAGCTGAGGAAGGAGCTGATGGCTGAAAGAACGTGGATGAAAGAGAAGGAGGCTGATTGGCTCAAGACCGAATGGAACTTCTGTGAACACTAGCTTTAAGTTCTTGATTTTTAAGAAGAGACTCAAGTATACCATGGTCTAGACATACTTGCTACGCTTAATTCGCGATGAAGTTCCGATTGGCTTGCGTTTTATTTGGCCTAGCTCCCTCAACACCACGCGACGACTCATGCAATATCTCTACATTAGCCACTCGTAGCGAATACTTGTCCATTTTGGCCCATTTCGGGGTGTCGGCCGGTGGATCTCTGTAGTGAAATCGGAAACACAAAGAGACACCAAAGGCGGTAACCCTCTCGAGATCTCTATTTCTGAAGTTTCGTATTGTTATGTGCCTTATCAATGTCAATATGGGAGACCCGCCAATGCCGCGAAGGCTAAACAGTTCAAGACTATCCTTCTCTATGTGTATACCATACCTCCATTCGCACAGATCGTGTCCCCGGTCACCCAGCGCGATCTTTCTTCGCACAAGAACACAATGATATCTGCCACATCCTCCTCCGTTCCACATCTGGGCTCGGCAGGAACCTTATTATTCTGTTCTTCCATCCTCGCAAGATGCACAGGTCCGGCAGCACGGTACATATCAGTATCGACAGGGCCAGGGTTGACTGAATTCACAGTTACCCCGTATTTGTGGCCCAGCTCTGTGGCCCAGACCCGTGTCAGACCTTCGACAGCAGCTTTGGATGCGGCATAAACGGATTGAGTCGGGTAGCCACCGCGGGCAGATATCGAAGACAAGTTGACAATACGACCGCCGCGGTTGATGTGAGGTAAGACGCTTTGAGTCATAAAGATGACTGCTCTGACATTGACTGCCATCAGACGATCATAGTCTTCAATTGTGACTTCTTCGAGTGGTGCGTTTCCTCCGACGCCCGCGTTGTTCACCAGAATATCGACCTTGTCGGTTTGAAATTCTCGAAGAGCCGCTTTCAAAATAAGAGAGGGAGCCTCAGGAGACGCCATATCGGCACGAATGCACGTCACTCGAACCCCGAACCCCTTTACTTCCTCAACCAACTTTAGAGCAGCAGCTTCGGATGAAGGAGAGACATAATTGAATGCAACCTGCACTATGTTAACATCAATATTCTCATCACAGGTCGACTCGGTTAAGATGAGGCCGTTGTGGATATACCAAGTAAGGAAGCTCTGATTGATCAACCTGGTAATCTGTTTCGGGCAATAAGATCAGGACTTACACTTGCGCCTTGTTTAGAAAGAGCTCGAACTATGCCAGCACCGATTCCTCGAGCCCCTCCCGTCACTATTGCGATCTTTCCATTGAGAGACATGACGATGACTTGAAGTCCAGTGGTCGTATATCTCGAATCACCCTTTAAGCTGAAGAGGAGACTGAGAGATGATCTTGATCCTTACTCTCAAGTTCTCTTGAGGGCTTGTCGATTACGATCAAGGGCGAGGTATGTGTATAGAGAGTATAGAGAAGATAAAAACCCCAGGCTTACATAGGCTGCGTGCGGGGAGTCGCAGTGGGCGGGGGTTTCCGTCCAAATCAACAATGTGGCGGAAACCCAACCGGGTGACAGTGCGCCGAACGTGGGGTAGTGGTGACTTGAGACGGCGCCGTGTATGGTGTCTTGTGAGGAGACGATGTGTTTGGGCCAATTTGTTGAGGCTGCACGAAACGATCTAACGTGAACGACAGGGCCAGCGAGCTCGGAGGGGGTAAGGGAGGGGTAAAGAATTCCGAAGGTGATGCAGCCAGAAACGATAGACATCTAATCAAGCTGCCCACCTTTTTGAGATCAGATGTACTCGGTATATAACAAGCTGGCCGCACTGAGTTGATGTTCCCACCTCACTTCCTCATTGACACCCACGGAATCTCGAGTCCCTGGCCTGTATTGGCCATCAAAATCAGAATCATACTCATCAACCACTTATGCCTGCCATGGATACATCAAATGCAGTCGATATCCTTCGCCGAAAACCCGAGAACCTTGCAATTTATACTAACCCTGAACATGAGCTGTATCTCAAGAAGCTCGATGTTCCGACCCCAAGCGAAGGGGAGTGCCTCATCCACGTGCGAGCAACTGGCATCTGCGGCTCCGATGTTCACTTTTGGAAAGCAGGTCACATTGGCGAGATGGTTGTGACGGGCGAAAACGGGCTAGGCCATGAGAGTGCAGGCGTAGTTGTTGGCGTAGGACCCAAAGTGACGAAGTTCAAGATTGGTGATAGGGTAGCCATCGAGTGCGGCATCCCTTGTATGAAGGCATCGTGCTTCTTCTGTCGCACAGGCCGATACAACGCCTGTCCAGAGGTGGTCTTCTACTCGACGCCCCCATATCACGGAACCCTTACCCGCTACCACGTGCACCCAGAAGACTGGCTTCACAAGATTCCTGATGGAATGTCATATGAAGAGGGATCTCTTCTCGAGCCACTCTCAGTGGCTCTGACAGGGCTCGAGCGATCCGGCGTTCGCTTGGGTGATCCCGTGATTATCTGCGGTTCCGGTCCCATCGGCATTGCCACTTTGCTGGCTGCTAGCGCAGCAGGTGCAAACCCAATCGTCATTACGGACATCAATCAGACCAGGCTGGACATGGCGAAAAAGGCAGTTCCTAGAGTACGAACTGTGCTTATCACTGCTGGAAAGGAGCCGCAGGCAACTGCCGAGGATATCAAGGGAGCTCTTGGCCAAGAAGCCAAGATAGTGCTAGAATGTACTGGCGTTGAGTCAAGTGTGGTCACCGGTATATACGTAAGTAATCTAACTTACACGAATTGTACGTTGGACGGGGATACTTGTGCTGATTAAACTCTGAAGTCTTGCCGATTCGGCGGCATGGTCTTCGTTATCGGTTGCGGTAGAGATTTTGCCACAATTCCCATCATGTACATGGCTGGCAAGGAAATTGAATTACGGTTCCAATTTCGCTACCGAGATATCTATCCTCGGGCCATTGGCCTTGTTGCTGAGGGAGTCATTGATCTCAAACCATTAGTCACCCATCGGTTTGCTCTTGAAGATGGTGAGAAGGCCTTCAAAACAGCTTCAGACCCTAGTGCTCTGGCGTTGAAAGTTCAAGTACTTGACGATTAGAACCCAGGGCGGTAGTACTCAAGCTCAAGCTTTCTGAATTGTATCTTCGTTCAAGGAAGAGGTTCCGCCTGGACGTGAATAGGGGCTGCAGGTTCGGTCGCGAAAATGTGCAGGCTGCAGCGGCGACGTCCTAGTGTCTTTCTATATCTCTCACAATTGATTCGAAACGTTGAACTCTCATTCCCCCGTACTACAGTGTTCTCATATGCCCAAATATAGCCCTGCACGGCGATAAGTCATGCAAGGAGCAGGAATCTAGGTTGGCCACGGCTCAAATCAAAAGGGCACATATCCCTAGCCGTGACATTGCATTTCTAGGAACACTGTTGTCGGTACCATGGTAGTCTCTTTCCCTCCAGCATTCCTTCAGAACTCGTAGCACCGTATCAACGTTTGTAAAACCGGAACCCGAGCTTTCAAGGATTCCTTCAATCAGATTCTCGAAGAATGGTTGTTGATCTGGGGCTGCCATTGCTCCAGCGACGCACATAGCCCATGTTACAGGTTTCAGAGACAGGCCATCCGGCACACTTTGAAGAGCATCCATAACGCCAGATACTGCGTTATGAATTGTTTCAAGCGCGTTTTCTGGTGCGTCTTCTATGTTGGCTGAAATTGTGTGCAGTTGTACAAGGACTGCCGTTGCATATATGCGGGTAATCGACTGCGAGATTAAAGCTGAATCGGGCTGACCGGACGAATTAGTATTGTTCCATACCCCATAATATTGAGAAGGTATACTAGGTACCTTTTGTTCTACCCCCAAGTATCCAACACCATCTTCGAGACGTTTAGTGATGTCTGCAATTTTGCGGCTCAAAGCTCTCGGATTCATCTCTGCAACTTGTGCCTCTAGCGAGGCTACATCTCCGAGAGCTAGCATAGCCCAGTTCTGGCAACCCATGACACAGGACACATCGATTTCTTCGTGGCTGAGCCACCTTTGATAAGGTAGCCTAGGTGGTTCACCTGTAGAAACACATGACAGAAGCTCGAACCAAAGTAGCTGTGACACATGGAATCTGGTGGCCGCACTCATAATCCTCTGGAATCCAGTCTCAAGTCTTGTAGAAGATTCGGACCTTCCTCCCACGCTCTCCAAGTCAATTTGACCTGCGACCAATACAAGAGCGTTCAGATGTGACTGCCAATTAGTGGTTCCTCCTTGGAAGACCTAGCCAGTTTAGCATTAGCAGCGTGCAACCATGGGTTCAACAAGAGTTGGAAGAGTGGATACCTCGAAGCTGATGAGGAAAGTGCCACAAGTAAGAAACTCGACGCGATGTTCGGGATGGCTGGCGAAACCATCTGTCTCGCAGCGAATGAGAACTTGACGGAGTTCTTGCATCGCATTGGTGTGATACCGGATAAGCTCTGACTCCATTTCTTCTGTCTTACTTTGCGACATAGCGTGTTGGTGTAGAGCGGATAGCGTAAAGGCGGCTTGACGAAGCGGCCCTTGCTTGGACAGAAGCCAGAAAAGCCATCCTCGGCCACCGAGTGCTGGCTTATCCACGTAATAGGCGTATTGGAGGGGAAATATGTAGTCCAAATAATATGTCAGGAGCTCAGCTTCACGATACTCAGACCCGCCTGGCGAAAATATTGCTGACTCTTCGAGAGTTTCCCCAGAAGGCTCCGTTACGGCTCTGGTGGATGAACGTGTGGAAGAAGCCTGCAGTTTTCGAGTTCGGCGGAAGTTCTGTTTCACAGCATGCTTGATGCGTTGAAGTTCCGCCTGTAGCTTGACAGGGTCCTTGACCCAATCAGGCTCCGTTCCATAGCCATGGCATACTATGTGCCGATCTGTGCATTCTTTACAAGTCGGAGTTGCTTCGTCGCATTTCCTATGGCGAATACGACATGTCCAACAACCACCGCTGCTACGGCCCAGGGGTTTGGACATTGTTGCGGGGGTGTCTCTGGACTAATCTCGGGATTTCGGTTTACCAGATTCATCGAAAATTTCCTAAGAAAAATACTATTAGCCAGACTCCAAACAAGTCGTATTGGCCCGTCAGCGGGACAAATTTGCTCGGGCTGTTTTGTCGACGTTCGTCAACGTCTTCATTTGCGTCGGTTAATCTTTCCCAACCCCCCGCATTAGTAGCCCTGCAACCGAGACTGTCTCCACAATTCGCGCTCTTGTAACTCGGGAAGGAATGTCGAGCCGTACTTTAGGAAGGAAAGTCGAGACGAAAGGACTGCAATTGGTCCGCAGTCAACAACGCTCTTGTTTCTTAAAGTTACTTAATTAACAAAGCAGGCTAAGAACTGACTAGAAGTGTGCTTTCTTACAGCTCAAATATTGATCCTTCAATTATCTCACATTTCTGCGACTCTGGAACATATTTTTTTTATTTACTTTCTCTAAGAAGAAAATCAAATGAGTAGATCGTCTGCAAGCGTATGTCGACCACCAGAAGACAGCGATCGACCATGCCTACCTGGGCATTTATAATCGTTTGTGGTCCATTCACCGTAGACAAGTATCCTCCGTTCTCAAAGGTCAGTATCACGTTGAGATGAGGATGCAGTATTTATGCAAGCGGCGCAAGACATGCCTTTAGATGTGAAAGCTGAAGAAATTGATAAGATCTCCCAAAGCGAATATTGGCGGGCTTAGCACGGACGAATACATCACGGTTCCATATTCAAGGGTTAACTATTCCTTTCCATTCTCTGTCGTTTCCACACCGATTAATCCACTATACGAAATACAGATTACAGACTAAACATTCCATTAGACTCGACTTGGCTCAGCACACCCTCCTCAACCTGCACACCCAAGTTGGTTCAGTTGGTACCTGCTGTATGCTCTAGATGAGAGGCACAATAATAAAAGGAAGACCTAGGCCTGCTTCTTGTTGCGGTCGCGGAAGTGATCTCTGGCCTTGTCGCGGGCAGCACCGCGCTCCCGGTTGGCGCAGAAGACGTAGTTGCCGCGGTTTCTGTCGCAAATCTCGGCGCCACGCTCTGTGCGAGTGTTATCATTTTGCCTGATTGAACCAGCATTGAATTATGTCTGACTTACCATAGGTGATGATCAAGTCCTCACTAGCCGCGCAGAAAGCAAGGTCATCGCCCTTGCAATTGGGGTCGTGGTCATCGCGGCCACGGTCACCATCACGACCACCACGGCCTCGGTCACCATCGCGGTCACCATCACGGCCGCCGCGTCTGTCGCCATCACGATCACCATCACGGCACTCGCGGCCTCTGCCGCCACGGTCTCCATCGCGTCGGCGGTAGCATTCGCAGCGGCGCTCTCTGTAGCCGTAGTACTGATCGATCTCGCATCGTGTAATTCTGTCGAATTCGCGAGCCAGCTCGATAGCCAGCTCCTGCTGCTCACGAATTGCGCAGAAGAGCCTGTTGCCTCCATCGTTGGCGAAACAGAGCCTGTTCTTCGCATCTACAAGCTCCATTAGCAAAGCTGACTGAGGCCTGGCTCATGATGCGTTGAAATAATTTACCGTAGCGAGTAAACTCCTTAACACTGCGGCCGCAGTAAAGTTCGTCGCGTTCATCGCGGCATTCTCCACGGGGAAACGCCTCTGCTTTGGCCAGCTCGGCAGGCTGCTCAGCGGGCATAGCCGCGACGCAGCTGATGCCGGTGAGGGCGGCAACGAAGAGCTTTGAGTAGAGCATGCTGACGATCTAAGCGAACCGCAAGTGCTGGTATCAAAAACCAAAGGTGGGTATAATTGGAAGGGTATCGTGAGCTTGAACTGATTGTTGTCTTGTCTGTCTGGTGAAGAGAAAAGAAAGCAATATCTCACGGGGGGTGGTGCCGTTCTTTATAGTCTGGGATCACTTCAGTTGTAGTTCATCTTTCCCGTGAATTGTCGCCTGCCGAGCAATCAATGGACTGTTGACGCTCGCATTGCACCGGGTCTAGTTCGTCGACATACTCAAACGTTGTTTATCCCTCTGGCATCCAAGGATGTCCATTTCTCCGACGCATCCGTAAAGAGCTACCTAAGATGGGCAGCTTTCAGCAAGCTACCTCGATCGGCTTTGCTCCGAGGCATCCTGAGTTGTCTCCCACAGATCGGATGAGCTGCAACCAGTATGCGCCGTGGGTTTGGTGACTGTCACTCACGAACTGGCGGAGTATCAAGAGCAGAGGCGTCCTACAGAGATGACATGTGTTAGACAAAGGTCTAACGGCAGCATGCCGATTGTACCATCATGTTCATGAAAGTTGTCCAGGATTCCTGGCAAATGGACCAGAAGTTCATGCCTCCACGTTTGGCTTGCTACGCTTGATGGTGTGCCATCTAACTCTATTCAAGCTGTAAAGGGGGGAAGTGGTCGCATGGTGCAAGCATAAGATGGTTGCAACCTCTACAGTTAGGAAGAGTCGAAACTTTCTAGCTAAGCTGAGCCAGGCAGCTTGATTCCATTTCGGAAATCCTCAACTTGGGATTGACCCTTGGCAGTCCGGTAGGTCTTCCGAATAAGGATGGGTGATAATGCGCCCTCAAGCAACAAAGGTGTAAGTTTCTGGTACCTATTCCACGTATTAAGGTAGGATCATCTCACTGCCATACCCGACTACCAGGTCATTTCTGTGAGCGATACTTAAGTATAGTTCAGTCATCAGTTAGCGTTGTTGCTTCACTGACTGTTCAGTCTTCAAAATGGAGAGGTCACAGGATCTATTTCACCCTCCAGGTGGATAAACCATCTTGCATTAGGGACTTCTTGCACACATCCCATTAGCAACTGGACCGTATCCGCGAGATGGCCCTTGCTATACCCGAGCTTTCCTGCACCATGCCAATTTTCGACTCAACTGCTGTGCAAACTAATGTGAAAAAACATTTCATCTATCATAGTCGGCGTCCGGGGAGAACCGATAAGTGCCGCTCCGTCCCTCTGATTGGACTTCGTCAAAGGCGACGGCAAACATTCCACGCCTCAGAAACCGCAAACCTTGCCCATTAAGCCATTGTGTTTCCTGGGCGGAAGGTTCATGGCAGATAGACTCTGCTCATCTCCCGCTAACCCCAAAAGGCGAGCTCGACTTTGTATATGCTGTCCAAGTACCCTCGAGGCTGTCTTTGATCAGGGCTTCAATGGCAGATCATCGTGTGAGATCGAGTTCAATCCCTGTAAATGAAAAGTGTATGAAATTGCCTGACGGGTAAACCTCGTCTGACACGCATCTATTCAGCTGTTAACCCGACTTGTCTTTCTAATCAGCGTCACGGGATAGTCCCCGATCTGTTGCGACTCCCGAGAGCTCCGCATGCAAACTTCCCAGCATCCCAAATCGTAATCTCAATGTACGACTATTCGGTAAAGGAGGTGTTCGGAATCGTTTTCATTATGAGATCTTTAACCTTATGGGAATAAGGTTGGGGTTTGGAATGATATCCTGCACCTGCGGCGCACAGTCAATCCAAAGCCTCCACGCGAGCCATGCGCTACACTGTGACTGCACAAACGTCAGCACGAACCACACTCACAGTTCGGAGAGCACAGCACAGCTGTTCGATTGATTCAAGATTGGTCAAAGTTCAGTTCGTCTGGTATGCGTTGAGAGTTACAGACCAAACACTTTGCACCCCCGCAGAAATGTTTCGGCTTCTAGCATTGGTCTAGACCTTGAGCAAACTGTTGCGACTCGCGCTGATGTTGTGCTTCTGGCATGAACCACTGTTTGTTTGGGAGACAGAGGTTGTTAATCTCCTCACATTCCTGTCGATAACTTTGCTGCGTATTAAGCTTCTCCAACGTGGATCGCCTGAACTTCTCATCGGCGCGAAGAATGACTTGGGCAGCTTTTGAACCGCGAACAGTCGATCTGTCCTTTAACATTGTGAAGTGAAATCAAGGTTGACCAATGAATGAACAAGCAGGCCTCGCCAAGAACTCATGGCATTGAACGCTTCCATGAGGCTTGCATGAACGTTTCTACCAACACCCTGCTGTGAGGCAAGAACTGCCGTTCCTGGTCATCGACGTGAGCAAACTTCATGCAAACCGGTTCACGACCAGAACACTGAAGCGATCTACCTCGTAGTCCCCAGCGAGGCTGTTCACACGCCATCGCAATCCGGGGAAGTTTCACTAGACCAGAAGCAACGGAGACGGATTTTGAGGGAATTGATAGTCGGGTATATCGTTTATTGAAACTCGTTAGCCCCCACAAGGAGCGGGACACCTAGAGGATATCTTGGCACCAGTGATGTACATATCAAACGCCCATCAAGGACTTTCTTTCTTTACCTCCCTATCGTATCGTCCGCTCGAGATGAGAAAATAAAAAAGGAAATCGCTCGGATATTCATGCAGGATAGCTCAAAAGAAACACAAGAAGGCCGCAAGTGCGTTGGCGGAAAGAATGATAAGACGTTGAAAAATAAAAATGAGTGGGTATCGGCGCTACCGGAAACCTCCCTGGGCGCCACCGTTGTTGAAGTATCCCTGATTCGCGCCTCCATAACCGCCATTGTTGTAGCCTTGCTGCGCGCCGAATCCATGGTCGCTGTATCCATGCGAAGGCGGGCTCATCGGCGGGGGAGGGCTTTGTTGGCCGTCAGGTGAGCCGAGGCGAGAGTAACCTCCTTGCGATGCGCTACGGCTCGGGGCCATAGGCAGGGGACCCGAAGGCGGCATTCCAGGGCTTTGGGTACGCAAGGGAGACATGAGCTGGCCGTGGCCATTCGGGTTGTCGCTATATGATCGCATGCCAGCTGCAGCACCAACCCCAGCGGCGCCCGCGGCCATGGGCGCGGCACCCCACGCGCCCTTTTCCTGAGATGCCGGGATGCTGTATGTGTTCTCCTGGACCATGCCGTTCTTGCTGAATGCGCCAGCATTGTACTCGGTGCCTGTCGCGCCAGCAAACGAGTCAGGGTCGACGCCGCGCTTGTGGAAGCCCTCAAGCTCGAGACGCTCTTCTTCGGCTCTCTTGGCGGCAAGGCTTGCCTCGTTGGCGCCACGTCTACGCTGGCGGATGAAGTACCAGAGACCAAAGGCAATCAGAGCACAGCCTACGCCGACACCTCCAGCGTATACAGCCGTTTTGGCGGTTGGGCTGAGCTCGTTGAACTTTTCGCTCACAGACTTGCTAGGTTCTTCCAGAAGAGCTTCCTTGACAGTTGAGTTGCCGCTGAGATTTGAGGTTAGCATGGGCTCGGTTGTCGTGCAACAGTCCAACGAGCACGACTTACGCAGCAATTTTGATGCTCTCCCAGGAGCCCGTCTTGTCTCCAAAAGAGTACTCCTTTCCGGAGCTGTAGTCCGTCACCTGCGCAGACTTGACATACATGGTGTACGGTCCGGCGGCGTAGTCGGTGTCACCTCCAGCCCATTCTCTAGTACCCGCAGCCATGCGGGGATCTCCACCAGCCCAGATACCGAGACTGAGGCGCATGGGAGTCTGGGGATAGGCCAGGGAGTTGTTGGCGTCCTTGGGGAGAAGAGTGCGAACGTTGTTGCCGTCGACCCACCACTCAAGCTTCTCCTTGGTCCACACGCAGGTATAGTTGTGAAAGTCGTCCTGGATGCTACCCGTCACAGGGTGCTCGGCACCGTTGTGCCAGTCCTGAACACCTTTGCCGAAAAAGTTGCTCAAGGCGTCGTTCTTTATTCCAAGGAATTCCCAATCAACCTCGTCCAAGGTGTCGCTGAGCCACATCATAGAGCTCACAATACCCTTTCCCTTGGCGGCCCTCATGTGGATCTCAGTACGGCCCCAGAAGAAGTAAAACTTGGATCGAATTGTCGGAGAGTCGCCTTGCTTGCTAATCGTGAATTCAGCGCCATTATCCGAGGTGTACGTAACGGGGCCAACAGTGGTTTCCCAGGCATCAGTCGAGGGAGTAGAGTTGAAGTTGAAGTTGTAGTCCATGCCAAAAGCCGGGTCGGCAGGACAGGTCGTGTTCATCGGATTACATTTCGTCGAAACTTGAGCGACCGCAGGCTGGGCAAGCGATGCCAGCACCGCCAGTGCCGAAAGAGTGTATTGAGACAGCATTGTAAGGGAGTGTGGATGGAAAATGATCCAATTGACTTCCGCAAGGACGAACGGTTGTCGAAATGAGCGTTTCGTGACGTTTGCGACACGTTCAGTAACGTCAGAAGTCTGCAGAACACGGCGCGCCAGCGGTGAGGTCTTCTTTATAACAAGAGAGTGACAATAGTGAGAGACGAGGAGTATGTGTTGTCTGAGACGGACGGATTCACCAGGCTCAACGTCGCAGACACAGACCGGGCTGTTGGAACAGAGGGAGAGAAAGTTAACCTCTGGTGGAATGTCGAAAGGAATGGCGATGGTGGGGTTCAAAATCCAAGAATTCAAAAGCTGGGAATGAGTGTGGATATGGGTGTTGGTGTTCGCTATTCAGATGGGGGCAAATGGCACGCATGGGAAGAAGCCGAAAGCACAGACTCGGGAATTGAGTTAGGGACTCAATCAAACGGAGAGCAATGATAGGAGGCAACCTCATCTCAACGTGGGCAAAGCGGAGAGACAGATGCAAGACAAGCCAGGGGATGCCGGGCGCGTGGCAAGCAGCATGTTGATTAAAGGGGGTGCCAATGTCTCTTTCTCCTCTTTGGGTTCTTGGAGTCGCATCTGCAACGGGCAGCGTTTCCGCACCAGCGCCAACCAGGATTAGCGTTACAACTATCGGTCGAACCAGAGGCGAGCAGCATTCTAGGGCCCGGTTCGTTGTGGCACCGGTAGAGCAAGGTTATCAGAAAGGAAATTGTTCGACATTCGCCAAACGGTCAAGCGACCGACTGGGAAACTCTCAAGATTATCCCGAGATTGTTGGTGGGCCTGTTGGAGGAGAAATGGCACCTTGGGCCGGGGGAAACGGCTGTGGAGATGTGGTGAACAGCGTCATGGGCGGTTGGAAAAGCGATCAAGTATGAGGTATTGCGAAGAAACTGCGGTCCGCGTTTGCGTGCGCTTCCGGGCACTCTCTTGAGTCGTGATCCTGAAGCAAGCGGTTGCGCGCATCGAAGACCTGTTGGTAGTTCAAACGTCATTATATGGATGGCCATGTGAATACCCATCTTAGGTGATACCAAAGAGGGCCCGCTTTAGGAGTCGGCGATCACACCGCCGTCACGTAAATCTCAAGGCACCTGCCCAAGCTGGAAGCATGAAACAGCATCTGCCAAGCAGCCGGGTACGGCTTGCAGTGGTGTTGTGTGATTTCAAGCCGCATCTGAAAAGATGGTTGCGACTGCAACTGGCAAATGCGCGTTGGAAAGGCGTTAGGTTCCCGATACCCACGACTTTGTCTTCAATTCGGTATCCGCGCGGTGAGTGATAGGACTTCCCCAGCTTTCGAGCATCGTTCTCCAAAAATACGACCGAGGTTCGTTGTTGCTAGCATCTTGCCTGTTGATCAATGACAAGAATTGTCGCCCTACACAAGCCAGCTTGCGGGCCAGTCTCGAGACTGCAACGGCGGGTTACTAATGCTTAATTTCAAGAGAGACGCCTGGCCAGATCTGCTGCAGCTGTGATCCGAAGTGATGATGGTTGTAGAGCGATGGAACTCTCATGAGGAGCATAGCCAGGCGTCTAGTGACGACTCAAGATCAGCGAGAGAAGCGCGGTTGAGGAGTAATCGAGGCGGGATTGGCGTCGTGAGCTGTGGTGTCGTCGATTTGGATCTACAGGCTTGAGATCTGGCCTGAGCGACTCGGTCGCTGTGGGTCACTAATGGTAAAGATTTTCATCCGCAAATGAGCAATCGTAGTGTCTTGTTGTTGCTGCGACCCGTTGAGTGGGAAACACTGTAATAGCGTTCGTCGATGTGCTGAGTTGTTTGCGAAACTTCAATCATGGAAGCGTCGAAGGTTTGCGGAAAATGAGTGAGACAAGGAGCATGAGGACAAAGTAAGGTGAGTGAGTAAGGTGGGAAATAAGGTGAACAAAGTGAGATGAGTAAGGCTGCGTGGCTGCTAAGGCAAAGGCAATTCATCGGGTATTCGGCGCATGGCGGGCCCAAGCGTCCGGGTCAGGGCCGGTCGAGAGACCCACATCCTTAAATGACAAAGCAACCGCTAAAACACAAGATTTTCCGCCTTGTTCGGTTACCGCGTGATACAGTGATATATCCACGGCTTGGCTAGACCGATATCGCTCGTCAACCTACCTAAGTCAAGCCACAACGAGACATTTTCTGAATCACACTATCACTCGATGTCCTCACTCGCGTCAAGAAGCTGCAGTAACGAGACTCTAGCTCATCAATGATCCAAGACTCCGGAGGTTGACTTAAAGACATGCTCTTTCTTAGTATGCACAATGCCAACACCAATTTCGGCAATCTATCCGTGCAAAAACCCACATCGTCCCCGAACTTCACCAAACAAACGTGATTTTCGGCGGCCCAGTCCGCTCCCGATTACGCGGCGGTGGATTCCCTCAAGAATGGACGCTTACCCGAGACGTAATAGTGGTGCAAACCGCCCTGCAACGACATGCTTAGATGCGATAACGCAATCCCAACCCCAGACAAGGTCTGCGGGATGAGCCCATGAAATTTTTCAGCTGTTGTTTGTTCAAATACTGGGCCAACTCCTGGCTTCTGACTGAGTCATCTCCCTGTCTAACCTCGAATTCACCCTTCACTCAACGTTCGCAAAGCCATCAAAGCAGCCGACATGAGCGCGCAAAGTGATCTGCAAGTCGCAGACTCGTCCGACACCGATGCCGGAAATGAACAACCAAGGAACGAAGCTCAGCGGCGCAGCTTCGGTGACTGGCTCCGTGATGATGTCAACATCCGCTATACCGATATCCCAGTCCTCGCTTGCTGTCTGGTGTCCGGCTTGTGCGACAGTGTAGCAGTGAACGCAGCTGGTGTCTTCGTCAGTATGCAAACAGGTAAGAGCCTAGCTATCAGGCAGGGGAAGCAACATGTGATACTGACCTGTTTAAAGGAAACACCATCTTCATGGCTCTTGGCGCCTCGAAGCTTCCGGCTGGCGAGCCACTCCTCTGGCTCAAGTCCCTCAGCTCCATCGCCGCGTTCTGGCTTGGGTGCTTCTTCTTCTCCAAGTCGAGACACATCCATCCCAAGCGCAGAAGCACTCTCGCCCTGTCGTTCCTTCTCCAGTCGGCTCTCGTCTTCCTTGCCGCCGCCTTTGCTCAGACACGTCTCATCGCCGACTTTGGAAAAGCCTCGGTGCAAGGCTCCGACTCGAATCACGAATTCAAGACCTCTGAAAACCCTCTTGTGATGGTCCCCCTTGCGCTTCTGGCCTTCCAGTTTGGCGGACAGATTGTGACGAGCAGGATTTTAGGATACAACGAAGTTCCTACCAACGTCCTGACCAGCGTCTACTGCGATCTCCTCTCCGACCCCAAGCTCTTTGCACCCCTAAAGGAGAACCCCAAGAGGAACAGGAGGTTCTTGGCCGTCGTTTTGCTTGTTCTTGGAGGTATTATTGGTGGCTGGCTGCAGAGAAGTCGGGCTGGCATGCCTGGGGCTCTTTGGATCTCTGGAGGAGTCAAGTTCATCATTGCCGTCGCCTGGATGGGCTGGGCTAGCAATGAGCCGGCTGAGAGCAAGCTGGAGAAGGGCGTTAGGTCATAATTTAGATACCCGTCTAAGCCATAGACTGTTAGCAGAATAGATCCCTCCCTCGTGCAAAGTCTCATTGTAGAATGCGAGCGTTTCTGGTGGGATATATGATGGTAAGTCTCGTGTTTTTGCGTGTCCCTCGAGGGCTAGCCCGACCATTCAACTGAGAGTAGTCAGTGTAGCCGTTGACTCGTACACATCCATCTCCAAGGAAACTCTCAGGGCTCACTGACTGCCACTCCAAGACTGATTTACGTACATATGTGCACTACTAAAGGTTACGGTCGTTCTAGTGCCGCTCCTATTTGATATATGCATACAATACGTAGACAGCAACCTTATCAAGTTTTGTCTCTGCCTCTGGTAATGTTAGATGATGACCTCAAGCCCATCAATCTTGCCAAGTTGGATGAAAAGACCCTACAACCTGACATGGCGCGTAACAGCTCGTTCGCTAACGCGAATTCCCAATTTGACTAGGAGAAAGCTGTTATATGTTACTTCGGTCAAGGTTCACAGCTGTCACTGATGGGTAAACCTTTGCCACAGACAGTGGCAGCATCTCGTCAAACTGTTGTGTAGGACGGCTGGCTATGTAAGTCGTCTCAGCGTATATTGTACTCCGCTGAGACGATGTGATCCATTAATATCGCTTCAAATCTGCCGATACCACATCTTCGATATGTAAGGTTGACCAAGCCACCCGCTACGGGCTCTCGACCGTTGTCTTCTGTGACATTTCGGCGCACTCCGGTGCGCCAAACACGGGGTCTTCAATGATACTCTAGTGCATGAACAGTCAATCAGACAGCAAGGAACTCTCAACTTGTCCTTGTTTAAACGAAGACTTCCCCACAAGCCATCCCTAATCAAGCCTCATAGGATAGCTTCCATGGCTGACATGCTGCATCGTCCGCTCTGCGCCTGGGTCCAACCAAGAATGGCCCACCCCAGACGTAACCCACATGCCCGGATTCAAGATTCGCGAGAACCACGATCAAGTCTTTTGACCATCTTTCAGGATCGCTTGATGCCAGCGCAGGGTCCCTACCTACTATTTATTGCTAAACCGTTGTGCTTCTCGGTTTCAGAGTGAAGATTCGCGATAACAGCCATTGGTAAATCATAGCGCTGTAGGGCAAGCCACAACGTCACGGTCATCCGTAGCAACCATCCAGAGTGTCTTGCACCGCTGGGACCGCAACCGAGTCTCGGTCTGTGAACGAACGCCAGCTCATCAAAACTAATGGGCACGACCGTCACACACGCCGTTAGCCGAATTCTGGTGCTTCCGCCATCTCGTCACCAAGAATGACCCCTTGCATCGCAGCACAGCCTCCTTGGCGTCTAGAGGCTAGATTAAACGCGCCGTCCTACTAAAGATATGAGATGTCATAATCGAGATTGTCCTCCCCTGTCGACTTTGCATCACTCTATTCATTACCAAACAGATCAGGGCCTCGGGGAACGGAAGGGCAAGACATTTCTGAACAAGACCCTGCGTGACCTGAACGAAAGAATCTAGGGGTCCTTCCACAAGAGGCTAGCCCGTCGTCATCATTAGCCTCTCATTGGTTGATTGGCCACACCTCGACCCCTGCACTGCAGCCTTCCCTTGCCAGCTTTTGACGTCACCGAGGACGGTGATCTTGGAGCGCAGATCACCGACAAACAGGTTTGGAGTCGCACGGCACCCAACCACCAAACCCGCCAAATGGCGTCTCAATCGGATCTAACAGCTAGTTGTCCTTCGAGGAACAGGAATGAGTGACGGACGGAGGGCATCCAAATGACCATCTTGGCATCATTGTGCAGCATCAACCATGCCAGCCTGCCAACAATGTCTGCAGCCAGGGTCTCGGCACGGGCGTCCGCCCAAACGACGTACCTTGCGGTGAGCTGTAACAGCAGTAGGAGAGCCATAATGTCATGAATGAGGATGAGGAAGAGGGAGGATCAGGGGAAAGGTTATGAGAAAGGAGGAGAGATAGATATAACTTCCATGCTCCTCCCGCCCAGAGTCTTGTGTTCCGTCTTATCCAGCATCCTAAGCCTTCATAAATAGAAGCACCCACACCACCAACCACACTCTACAACCTTGTAGGCGAAAACAAGCCTTTCGCCAAATCATCCTAGCAAATTATATTCCTTCCATCACAAAACCTCTATATTCTCAAAATGCCATTCTTCGGAGGCGGCCGTCGCGAACCCTCTCCCGAACCTGTTCGGGAGCTGACCCCACCACCCTCAGAGCCCCGCCGCACCGGCTTCTTTGGCTCTCGCCGGGACCCTTCCCCGGAGCCAGTCCACCACCAACCCGTTGCCGAGCCCGCGCCCCGCAAGCACGGCCTCTTCGGCTCCTCTCGCCGTGACCCGTCCCCCACGCCGACAGCTCGCACATCCCGCACCTCCGCGACCTCCCACTCCTCTTTGTCGTCAACTACCTACCACACCTCCCCTGATGGCCACCACACCGGCGGAGGCGGCCTCTTCCGCCGCTCCACCGACGCGTCGTCCGGTCGCCGGGGCGGTCTCCTGCACAAGTTTGGCGGCGTAGGCGTAGAAATGGACCCCAGCATCGTCCAGGCTCGTGAGCGCGTCATGGGCGCCGAGGCGGCTGAGAAGGAGGCTGACCGCGCGCTCATGGCTGCGCGGGAGAGCGTTGCTGCTGCGAGGGCTGATGTGCGAAGGCTTGAGGAGGAGGCCAAGGAGGAGGCCAGACGGGCCAAGATCAAGCAGTACCATGCCCGCGAGGTTTCCAAGCGTGGCAAGGCTTTGGGGCGTCACGGAGACTAAAGTCACGAACGTGAGTGGTGCGGTTGAGAGAAACTCAGCAGTATTTCTTTTGTATTTATGAGTTCATGATCTGTATCATGGCGAACGTCGAACAATACGGAGTTGGGAGAGCGGAACAAAAGATTTCACACTATATATTACTACTATAACACGCATGAGCGACGATTCGGAAACGCAAACATTACCTATATAGCAAGTCGAGAAATGAACTATTTGACGAACACAAGATCGAGCCAATGTTTGTGACGCAAGGTAATCGATGCCGCAATTTTCATGAAAGCGTGCTCGAGGTCCTACAGAGAGCTTCGTCAAATTAGAAAGACAAAACTTGGCCGACAGGAAAAGGTCTGAGGCATGTCTGACAGTACTGACAAGCTGACAAGACCCCTCCATGATCTGCCCGCCGTTCTCCAGTTCTCCAGTCCGACTGCAACCGGAGAATCTACTCAGCTCCGAAAGAGTCAGCACGGATCGGGGGTGTTCCTGGAACACCCCCTCGCAAATTCTCAGCCTTGACACCCGGTCGACACCACTCATTCCTCCCCTCATCCTCTGGCTCTAACCGGAGCGGACACGAGAATCTGCAGCGTCAGATTCCTTGGCCCTAGCGATTAGGTTCTCGGAAGTTTCTTACTCAAGGCGACGATCCGTGACGCGACGCTTTCTAATAGATTGACCGCAGCTCCGAGTCCGGTTCATTGCAAGCAAGGTGGTGGCGGTGGTGGTTGAGGGGTTTACTGATTTCAAAGACGTTGAGCATAGTGACAGAGTTCATTAGGGGTCATCTATCTAGTGACAACTTTTCTCGCTTGCTTGAGAATAGGCAATGGAAAAAAAGACCAGAACCCAATTGACTGCTGCTGTTGAGCTTTCATCCGAGATTTCTAGTACCCTGATCCAATACCTCATGCCATCCACCTGCCACCTGCCGAGCACGCCGTTCCTCCGGCCGTGCTGTCCTTCTGCGGATGCGCTGAAGACCGAAAGCGACAAAGGGAATGAAACCTGATTCTCCAACCCTGTATGTGCATTGTGAAGTGAAACGGGTATTTACATTTTTGGCTCAAAAGTGGTCAGTGCCCAAAGGTATCAAGAATTCATGTCGGCGACACAATCCGTAGATAGCCGCCGAAGTGAAAGGGAAAAAGGTCGCGTCTGCCCAAGGAGCTGGGCGGGCTGTAATAAAAGACATAGGTTAAAGGCCGAGATGCAAGTCGAGGTTGGAAGGTCCAATCCGTAGGAACGCCGACGCCTTCCAAGTGCCAAACACTGAAAAAATGGAATTCGAATCCGTCCGAAACAAGGGCCGCTCGTTTGATCGTGGTCGTAAGAAGATGAAGAACGATCATGGCAAGAAATGGATGCACCACCGTGATGTTTCTCACATAATGACGCACTGAGACTCTTCACGATCCTTCTTGACACTGAGGGCGACGCGAGCGGCCTCGGTGAAGGCCTCGTTGACACCGCGGTTGCGCATGGCAGAGCACTCGAGGTAGCGGAGGGCATTGATGCGGCGAGCGACCTCCAAGCCCTGCTCGTAAGAGATCATGGGACGCTTCTCTCGCTGCTGGCCCTCGGCGGCCTCCTCCTCCTCATTATCGGCCTCGCGGAGATCGCACTTGAGGGCGACGAGAACCAACTTCACGCCGGGACAGTTGTCGGCGATCTCTCCAACCCACTTGCTCTCGACGTTCTCGAGGGAGTCCTTGCTGTCGACGCTGTAGCAGAGCATGATGAGGTCGGTATCGTCTGCGCCTAATTAGCAAGCGACTTCTTAATTCACCCAATATTAGAATCCCGTACCGTAAGACAAGCTGCGGAGGCGGTCGAACTCTTCCTGGCCAGCGGTATCCCAGAGGGAAAGCTCGATGTGGACACTGTCGACGAAGATGTCTAGCAATCTCAGGTCAGTTTTCAAATCGCAGAGGGAGGATCGCGACAGAGGCATCTTGCGACTTGGCGCCTTTCGCTGGGAATCGAGGTATCGTACCATGGACGTAGTTCTCGAATACAGTGGGCTCGTAGACGGTCGGGAAGTAGCTGGGTCAAGTCAGCAAGAGATGCGCAATTGGAAACCCGGAAAAGGCCGGGCCCTAAGGCTTAAGGGTTGAAGGAGATAGTATTGGAATTACCCTCTGGTAAAGACGTTCAACAACGATGTCTTGCCGCACGCGCCATCGCCACTGCAGGTCGCAAGTCAATTAGCCAAGAACTCCCAATCGCAGCCACCAAGGAGGCAACACAAAGAGAAGGTCGAGGAGGTCTCACAGGAGGACCAGCTTGCGCTGGACGGTCTTGTTACCACCGCACAAAGGCATACTGGGTGATCTGAAGGAGGTGGATTCGGTCGGGTTGTAGAAAGTCGGTTAGGGAGGGTTGATCGAGGTGAGGCGAGTCGGTGCGGTGCTGTACGAGATCGGTTTGCTTGGTTGTTTGTGGAAAGCAGAAAAGGATGCAGTCGGCCAGTAGTAGGAATCTGGGGGGAGAGTTCGTGGTTCGTCGGTCGATCAGCAAGGGGAAGGTACCAGAGATGGTTCTGGGTTGTTGTTTGGAGGTGGGTTGGCACGGCTGGTTGGTGCGCGAGGTGGTGGTGAAAGGAAATGGACAAAGAAAGGCCGATGGACTTTGGGGTAACTGCCACTGGAAGTGGAAGGGAGGTAAATTGATGGTAACGCAGGAAGGAAGGCACGGTACAGTGCGGTCCAGGTGCAGGTGCAGGAATAATGGAAGGGAACGGTGGGGAACAAAAAGAGCAAGGAAGGTCCAAGGCCCAGTGCTCTTTCCGTAGATGCAGTGCAACAGTGCCTCTTTTCGCTGGAGAGGAAAGTGCCAGGCAAAGCGGAGTGGCTTGGGGGATGGCTGTGACTGTGATGTGAGGCAGAGGAAAGGCAGGCGCAGAGCAGCCAGATGAGAAGAAACAAATGGGAGAAAGAGGCAGGCACTGGAGACCAAAATGAGGTAAAAGGTGGAAGTGTGAATTTGGGGTGAGCAAAAGATGCAGGAGCGGGAAATTGAAATTGGGTTAGAAGAAGGTGCGCTGCTCAATTGGCTGAGATCATGTCAGAGGGCCACTCAATGGAGTAGAAAAGAGCAATAGCAGACAGGGTCAGGCACCTCTTGCCGGGGTGAGCCTAGGAGGAAAGGAGACGGAGGAACACAACACTCATTGCCTTTTTGGCGCTGGGCTGGAAATGGACTTTTGGGGACCTGAGGAAGGAAGCCACCCAGCTGGATAAGGTAGGGACAGGCAGGAGCCACTGGGACTTTGAAAATGGGCACCTTCCCAAGCTGTTACCTAAGAAACCTTTTGTTCTGTGTGGGAAAAACATTGATATACTATCATCATCATCATCATCTTCTTCTTCTTCTTCTTCTTCCATGGTGGTACACTTCAGCACCAGCCAGACCAGAGCAGAAAAGGGGACCAGCGCAGGGAGGCTGCGTGATTGCGTACTCCGTCACTCGTCGTCACTCAGTACACTTGGACGAATCCACAAGGACCGGAATGGGGAACCTCATGAATGTCACTGACTGAGCGCCTCCACCGAGCTACGGAGGCCCCTCTACCAAAGAATGCCCTGAGCCCACATACGGACACTCTACGGATACCTACCTGTCCAACTTGACACGCTTGCTCCGTTATCGACCAGGAGACCAATCACTTGGGCTGCGACTCCAGTTTGCAGCGTACGGATATCTACTTCTGCCTCCGAAAGTGTACGAAGACGCTAAAATATCCGTAGATGCGAACTGGGAAGAAACAACTTGAACGAGTGGAGACTTCCCCGCCACACAATTGCGCGCATCTGCACCCACTATCGAGCTGCAGACATGTCACGACAGGGGAATCAGATTGAACTGCGCGAGAAAAGAAAAGAAAATCCCTCCCAAAAAGCCATGAGTTGCCCTTCGTCCCGAACGTACCCGCAACCTCCAACAAAGTCATGAAATATCCCTCTCACAAATCACCAGGATGGACGCCATGAAGATGAAGAGGCTCGGGGCATGGGCCAGTGCGCGTCCAATGTGAGCTGAGCTGAGGCCGACTATGAGGTCTCGCCAAAACGGCATCATTGATCCAATGCTTTTCCAGCTTAGCCTTTTGGCTTTTCTATCCCCCCCCCCCTGCCACAACATGGCCGAGTGGCGCTTGAGGGCCCCCGGAGCCCCTCAACTCGTGTCCCGTCAAGGCCGTTCTTGGTAAGACAGCTGAGCTGAATGGGGCAGACAAGGTCAACGAGGGGCACCAGATACTCACGTATAGGAAGGCATCGAGGGCTAGGTATCTGGTACAAGAGAGTGTTCGGTACTGGACGCCAGAAACCTCCGCCAGAACTCGGTTGCGCTGTAAGCCGAGTCCACCTTATCTTCCGCTCTTTCGCCCGGCTGCGGCACCTTTCGAGAACGCCAGTCATACACGATTCATCGTCAAATCCCCCGACCTCTAGCCACACAAACCTTGTACCTCCGTCTCACTCACAGACGAATATGCAGCTCCAATGTAAGCTGAAGCCATCACGATATACTGGCCAAAACTTGAAGTGAGAATACGCAATCCTCTGGTTTCACCTCATAAATCTCGCCGCTCAACCTCTACTTGTCGTGGGCTGTACGACTCGCTGCGCCGCTCACTAATCCCACCCATCGTCATTCGATAGTCCACACTGCAACGAACCAAGGAAGGAAATCCGATATCCACCTCTGTCAAAACAAACGCTCTCCACTACTCAAACAAAAAAAAAACTCCATCGCTAGCCAAGGAAGCACCGCGCCTTGTGGCAGACTCATCCCAGCGACACTCCCGCCGCAAAGCGCCGGAGCTCGACTCGCTGGAAGCCCCGAGAGCGGCGCCTGTTTTTCGGATCGAGAGACATGGGCGAATCCACCACACCATCCACCCTAAAGGCAAAAGGCCTGGGCCCGTGGTTACTCCGTGCGAAGTGAAGGTCTTTTGGTCCTAGGTATTCGGTTCGATTGTTCTCGTTATTTCCTTAAGGTACCTTATTCAGCAGCGCTGCGAGAACCCTCAGTTGACTGCAGTGTCTGAAGGCATTCCGGGATCATATTCTGCCCCTCTTTGCAGCTCATCAACACCCCTCATTACCCCTCATCACTCCATGACCTTCCCCATCAGTGAGGCAAAGGCAGCTGGCATCGTCAGCCTCACTGACAACGCAACTCTTGCGCAACGGAACAGTGAGGCACAGCCAAGAATCGTGACGCATCATCACCCGTTCGCCAAGCACCCGTTCGCCGCTCCATTGTGCTTCGGATCCTCAACCCCTCTTGTTGCGCCCGACGACGCCTCCCGCACCCAGTCCGAGTGCCGTTCCCCCGGATACCCCATTGTCAGTGCTCACTCGCTGTTTCTCACAAGGTCTTATGTAAGATTGCGTGCCACCGTATCGTGAAGTATTCGATTATTGTTCAATTTTTCTACTTGTTCGTTACACGGCAACGTTCGTCACCGTGTCTTGGGTATCCATTACAGCGTTCCATCACCGTGTGTGCAGCCTGCAACATGCCTCGCATTCTAGAATCCATCCATGACGTGCAGTCGGCGGCACTAAAGCTTTCAACCCTTTCTTGCGCCGAATCCATGGACACGCTTAAGCACGTCCTCCCTCCCTTCCGTCTTCCGGCAGCGTCCCATCCCGACTTCGCTCCCGCCGGGCCCGACCATGCATAGGCGATCGATGGCTACTGCGACCCAGCTCCGTTCTGTCGGCTCGCACGGCGCCCGCTCTTTGGCGCTCGACCTTTGCCCCGCGAATCCTCAACCTCCGCTTCAGGTTTGCCCCGCAAGCTGGTAGTTTGTGTGGTATTCAATTTGATTCGGCCAGGTCTCGCCGGTCCTATCGCATCCACCCCTCAGTCATCGTCTCTCTGCAGACCCTGCCTACTACGGCCCATCCTCTCCCCGAGGCTCATGTTGCCGGCCTTCCGATGCAGACCGTTCACAAATTGCCTGTCTCCAAACTTGGATGATCGTTCTCTCGCCTGATCATCGGCTTGTCGCGCGGCGTTCTCCCGTTCTTCAAGCGCAGCCAGTCGGCGCTCCCGATCTGTGTCGAGATCTGAAGCGGCTGCCTGCATCGCCGCCAACTTGCGAGCCCTTGCCTCCTCAGCGCCCTTGTCATCGGCCTCTTTGCCGCTACTGGATCCATTGGTACGGGCAGCAGGTCGTCTGTCAGGCCCTTGCCGATGATTATCGTTGTTTCGGCGACCCCGGGAAACTGAAGCCTCTCCATCCCGGTCGCCACGCCTGTCGTGACTTCGTGGCGATCTCTCCCGTGGCCTGACGGGTCGTTCGTCCTCGGACACTGAGTCTCGGCGCCGCCGTTCGCGGTCGTCACGCCTGTCGCGTCGATCGCGTCTGTCGTAATCGTCCTTCTCGCCAGAGTCGCGTCTTCGAGGAGATCGGGATCTAGAAGTGCGTCTGCGCTGGTGGTGCCTGTCTTCTGAATCGCTGCGTCGACGCCGCCTTTCAGAGCGCTCTGCCTCGTCATGGTCGTCTCTCCGACGGCGCGGGCTTCGTGACCTTGAATAAGATCGCCGCCTTTTGCGGTGTCTTTCCCGATCGTCGTCGTCATTCCGATGCCTGTGGTGCCTTCTCTTGTGCCGCTCCTCCTTTCCTTTCGACTTTGATTTATCGTCTGCCATACCCATGGATGCAAGTAACTGCCGACGCTTGATGGGATCATTCATCATGGCTTCGTAGGCGGCCTGCTCCTGTCGCTTGATGGCAAGCAGGGGGTCTTCTCGAACTTTGGCTGCTGTGTCGCGTGCGGTGTTGGCCGTCTGTAGGGCCATGAAACTCTCCTGCCCGGCTTGCTTCTCCAAGTTCTTGTGTTCCGTTCCCTTGAGCAAATTGTCGATGCGGCGCTTGCCTAAGAGGTAGCTCTCGCGCTCCTCGGTCGTGCCGGTCTGTCCATCGGTAGGTCCGCTGTAAAGAAACTCGACGCGGTCGACTCGTTTGGTGTGCCCTGCAGCCTCGAGCTTCTTCTGGAGTTCTTCGCGCTCGCGCTCTTCCTTGAGCTCGTTGATGCGCTGCTGTGTCTTCTTGCGCTCATCGAGGGCTTTGCGTTCCTCTTCCCAGACCTTGGCCTGGTTCTTGATGAGAGAAGGGTGGAAACTCTTCTTCAAGTTGAGATCGCCACCCATCTTGCCGACTGCTTAGTCGAGTATACTGGAGTATTCGTCGACAATTGTTAGAGAATGGGCAAAGCCGGAAAGTGAGTCGTGTGGAAATCTGTTGGAGATGTAGGTTGTTGGGAGAGATGGAGGTTGAAACTAGGCAGATGAAAGTCAAAAGGCTGGCACGGCTGGGTTCGAGTCAAAAAAGCCATGGAAGCCAAAAGTCGCCTCCGTTCATGTGGCCAGTGCGCAATCAGAGGCCGTTGGTGGGTCTGCCAATCGATAAGCTCCCCCCGCCTTCCATTCATTGTCCACCACAGCTGCACCTGCCTGGAACTGCCCTGCTCATTGTCAATCAGCCTTACTACCTTCACGTCCAATTTCCAACGACGAACAAACCTACAAATTCTTCCACCACACCTTTTCCTATAGCTATTCTCCAGTCCAGTCACCAAAGCGCACTCCTTGCGATCGGCTTCTCGTGAATACTCCACAATCCCCTCACGCAGTCAAGATGTCTGACGACGAGGACTTCATGCAGGAGTCTGATGAGGAGCAGTGAGCTTCCCCCAGATGGGCCTGTCAGCTATGGGTTTTGTAGCAGGAACCGCCGAGACTGACTAGGCGCAGGTACGACTTTGAGTACGAGGAAGACGACGATGAGGACTCCGGAGATGTCGGCATCGAGAACAAATACTACAATGCGAAGCAACTTAAGCTTACCGATCCCGAGGATGCTATTGCCGAATTCTTGGGCATACCACCGTTAGAGGAGGAAAAGGGCGAATGGGGCTTCAAAGGCTTGAAACAAGCCATCAAACTCGAGTTCAAGCTGGGACAGTATGAGAAGGTACAACCAATCTAGACTTCCTGAAGAAAGTCCTGCTACCAATAGAAGGGAAATACTGATTTCGGAACCAGGCGACGGAACATTATGCCGAGTTGTTGACCTACGTCAAGTCGGCCGTGACAAGGAATTACTCCGAGAAGTCGATCAATAACATGCTGGACTACATTGAGAAGGGATCAGACAGCCCCAAGGCCGTGGCGTGCGTCGAGAAGTTCTACTCGCTCACACTCGAGAGCTTCCAGAGCACAAACAACGAGAGGCTATGGCTGAAGACGAACATCAAGCTGGCCAAACTCCTCCTCGACCGCAAGGACTACAACACGGTCACTAAGAAGCTGAGGGACCTCCATAAGGCTTGTCAGAAGGAAGACGGCAGTGACGATCCCAGCAAGGGCACATATTCTATGGAGATATACGCCCTCGAGATCCAGATGCACGCCGAGACCAAGAACAACAAGCAGCTGAAGAGACTCTACCAGCGCGCCCTCAAGGTCCGGTCCGCTGTACCTCACCCCAAAATTATGGGCATCATTCGCGAATGCGGTGGCAAGATGCACATGAGCGAGGAGAATTGGGCCGAAGCCCAGACGGACTTCTTCGAATCCTTCCGCAACTACGATGAGGCCGGCTCGCTCCAGCGAATTCAGGTGCTCAAGTACCTACTTCTTACGACTATGCTTGTCAAGTCTACCATCAACCCGTTCGACTCGCAGGAGACCAAGCCGTACAAGCAGGATCCCCGAATCACTGCCATGACCGACTTGGTGGACGCGTACCAGCGTGACGACGTCCACGCCTACGAAAATGTCCTGCAGAAGAACCAAGACATTCTCGCCGACCCATTCATCGCTGAGAACATTGACGAAGTCACGCGCAACATGAGGACGAAGGGCGTCCTGAAGCTGATTGCACCGTACACACGAATGAAGCTGTCATGGATCGCGAAGCAACTAAAGATCTCAGAGCCCGAAGTTCAAGACATCCTCGGTTTCCTCATTGTTGACGGCAAGATCCAGGGCAAGATTGACCAGCAAGCCGGCACTCTCGAGATTCAATCGGACGCGGACAGCGATCGTACCAAGGCTTTGTACGAACTGACGCAATCTGTCTCGAATTTGTACACTACCATGTTCAAGGAGGGCGAAGGCTTCCGATCTACCGAGTTCCCTACCGATGAGCAGACCATGGAGATGATGGGCGGCGGTATGACCCCAAGAGGCGGCGGTCGTGGACAGCCGCGGGGCGTCGGACGGAAGGGTAAGGGCGTGGTGCCGTCAATGTGGACATGAGAAGCATGAAAATACGCGCATGCCGCTTGATTACAGCGGGAGATGAACATAGCAGGTAAAGCTTACGACTGGCCATTGCACCATAGCTGCTCGATCAGATACGTCACAGCAGGGATGGGGACGGAAGTGCTCAGACGAAGAAGGAAGACGATGCCATGGCGGCCTCGACAAGCATAGGAAAGGAGTAGAGGCGTTGTCAAAGTAGCTCATCAGGCCATGACAAGATACCAAAAACCATGCAATCAACATTATTAGTCAAAAAGGAAGGATATATTCTTCATCAAACACCTCAAGTAGCACGCCGAACAACCGACGCAAAGTATGGATGTAGGCAAACCCGTGGACAAATACGGTTCAAAGGCAGCTTCCCGCTGCGGGTGGCTCAATTCAAAGAGCTTCCAAGATCTCGTGGAACGCTGGTGACGGGATACGAGGCCGAGGGAGCAGGAGGCGATGAAGGAGGCTAAGGGTGGGATAAGTTATCACGTCGCACCACGACGACGCGAGGGATCAAGAGGAATTGACTCCTTGGCTAGGAGAGGTATAGGTCCTCTCGTGCATCTCAATAGAGGACAACACTAGCACACTAGATACGTATGTTGATTCATCACCTCGTCGGACTCGTAGATCCCGTGGAGGCAACCGAAGAAACCGAAAATACGAAGAGCCGGACACGCCTAAGGAATCTCCCAATTCGATGTCCCTCAACGCTAGTAGACTACGCGATGGTGTTTTTCGCCATGGTGTTTTTACGACGATCCAATCCAGACCTCGGATCTATCATCCAGCCTTTGGGCTTCGTTCCGGAATCTCAGTTCCGGAAATCTCATTTGTCCATAGGAACCGGAATACGACCATCAATCTCCCCCGCGACACAATGGAGGGGCATCGAGCTGACCAAACAGCAGGGGAAAAAAGAGTTTGGACACGCAGGCGATAGACTGGTGATCAACTTATTTGGCTCTCACTCGACACCGCCATCACCGTCCCAATTCGCAAATCAATGGGCCGAAAAGGCGCCTGACCGATAGATGCAGCGGCAGTTTGTCTTGTTGGCCGCGGCGCAGTCCCCCAAACGAGACGCAGACGAGATGAATCTGGCCCTGTCTTGTGTGGTAACCACCACCAACCTTTATCGATTTTCCCGTCTTCAGACCTTCACCTTGCAGCAACGATGTGTTGGTGCTCAGCTCGGCTCGCTTGCTTGATTTGCATGGCCCGCGTCGTTGGTCTCGACGTAGTTTGACTGACAGTTTGCAATTTACCCAGCCAGACATGGGCGCAGCAGCAAAATGGGGGGGGAGGGACACCGCGGAGACTGAAGGCAGTGAGCCGAGCCAGAACGCGAAGCAAATGGAAGAAAAGAAAAAATTCTGCACCACCATCACCCACAAGTCTCCATCGCTCACCCCGTACTCTTCGGCGTCGTGTCCGTAGCCGTCAAACGATACGACACGATGCTGGCGCGGGATTGTCCCGATTGTTCCTGGCAGCGTCGCATAAGGTAGAGAGAGACAGTGGACCCAGAAAGTCTTAGTCGCCTTTACCCTGGTTCGTCAAGGTAACTTCAACTGCAAGTCTGATGAACATTTTGCCCACAGACTTCGCTTCCCGTGATGTGTTTTACTGCGTATTTTATCGCGGCACGGAGTATTTGCCTTAGCCTTTGGAGTAACATCTCCAACAACATCGAACCATCAATAACCATCCCACTTGCAGATCACACTTGGGCTGGTATTATGCAGTCGAGTTTCATCCCCGGCCCGTCTGCTAGATGCATAGATGGTGGTTCATATCGTCTCCAAAATACCACTGTTCAGGTTGCGTCGCCTTGCGTCTAGTTCGGACGTTGACCACTACCCGTAGATTCAGTGGTGGTGATTGACCAGGCGTAGCTTCTGCTCCGGAATCTAGATCTTTCACACTACACAGCATGAAGACGCTTTTTCAACCTTCTTCCTTCTGCTTCGTTTCTGTGAGGCCAGTCCAATGATCGTGATCCGCCATCATGGCAGATCGCCATCGCCTCCCTGCGAATGGAGACCTGGCCTAAGGGGAAGCCAATTAAATGACCTTCATTATGCGTCCTTCCGTGGCCACCACCATCCTGCGTACTGTAAGTACATCACACCTCCGCGAGCTCGCGAGTAATGGAGGGAAAAAAAAACCCAGGCGTAGCAGGGCGATTGACGAGCCGGTTCATCCACTCAAATGCTCAAACGACACCTGCATAAGCCGCGACAAGGGCGAATCTGTGGTGCGCCACGCAGGCGGCAGGTGGGCTGCAGAGAAGCGAACGAGCGAGTGGTCTGCTTTTGTTCTCCGCCTCTGTCTCTCCTCCTGCTCCTCTTTCTCCTCTTTCTCTCGGCCGATTACTGGGCGAATGCAGAGTGGAATCCGTGATGGAGTTGGCGGGCAAATCTGGCTCAAACATCGGAGAAGCCTGCGTGTTAACGAACCAAAGCCTACTTTCGATGATTGGATGTTCCATTCAGCGAATACAAGAGACGAGAAGGCCATGAAGTGAGCAGATGGAGGAATCCGTGGTAGGTACTTAGCAGATTCACGGCCAGAGCAGTCAAGACTCAAGCGGAGGGAAGCTGATGTGACATGTTTAGCAAGTGTGTGTTTGTCTGCATTATGGATGCTTGCATGCCGAGAGTGTAATTAAATTTGCTTTGTGCCTCAGACTTCGCCTCAATACCTGACGGATATCGGTTCCGCGTACTAGTACAGTCGATGACCCAAGCGGATGACTACACGTCCGCGATGATCAAGACTTGGGGGCACGGGGGTTGAGGTGTTGTAAAATATTCTGCTCATGGCAAACGTGTCTCTCTCGCATGGTGCCATGGAAGATCTGACAGAATTTGAATTCGCGGGGATGTTTGAGCCGAGCTTGGCTGGAGAGATGCGCCACGAGCATGTTTCTGCAGCTTGCCGCAACACTCACTGGCCCTCATTGGCGGTTGAGAGCAGGAAGCGTGTTGTACAATGACGATGGCGATTTTGTCAGGCACAACTGCAGTTATAAAGAACGATTGCAGCTGATTGTTGGAGATTACGCCGTAAACCATGTCGATTTGTGGCTATCCGTATCCCGTATGCGCCGAACATCTCACTCCCTGTCGTGCTTGTTTGCCTTCCCGCCGCTCTGGGGTAGACCAGACAGGTTGATCAACGCAGGCATGGCTCATCGAAGACGGAGCCGGCCAGTAAAGTACGAATGAGCGACATGGTCAAAGGCATATGTCCACATCGATGAGATGTCAATTTTGACGTTGGCTCGGTCGTGGACCTTGATCAAAGGGTGAGGCGATAGTAGCGGGCTCCGTCTACCATTGAACAAGCGATCATCCTCTACATGCGCACGCAGGGGTCAGAATTTTCTGAAGGATGAGCTGTCATATCGCCAAGGCCGGTGGTTATTTTGGAGGCCCTTTGTCGGGAAAGGGCAGAGGAGTATTTCGTGCAGTCCCAGCTGCGTATCTGCATGGCAAGCTCCCGAGACTGGGAGTATTCAAGGTGACCAAGAGGAAGACCGCAGAAATAGCGGATATACGGAGTAGCCATGCTGCCTCAGTGCCGACGCCATCAACCATTCATTTGTATCTCCCACTGCTCAGGATCAGGTCCAAAGGACTCCGTAGAAGACTTGTAATGCATCTGTCATTCTTCGCGCCTGTGGAGACGGGACGGAGCGAACGTGGGACGGGACGGGGTCTAAGTGGGCGGAAACGTAGCCGATGCGACGTTGCTGGCGATTGAACGTTGTTGGCATAGCTCGCTCACGATATGCTCGGCGGCCCAGCTAATGTCTCCAGACTCAGAGCTCCGAATGGGCCTCCTTTGGAAAAGGAGACATCCCAAACATCGTCATTCACGGAGTGTTGTTGGTGGCATCGGATACCGCAGTGCCCGGCCTAGACGATTCCCCTTCATCTTGCAATCGATCCACATCTTCTTCACATGCCCTTGACTTTCTGCCGATGATCGAGCAGTGGACGAGGCCCGGTCAAGATGCTGTGCTATTCGTAGTCTCCTGTTTCCTCAACCATACAGACTAAGACGAATCTGCTATAGCGTCAGAGGAATACCAGGGGCATAGGGCTTGGGGCAGCAACGTTGTTATCTTGGTCTAGTCTGCAGAGTGCCAGAGTGCAACCAGTCTCTCTTGAAAAGTCCGTAAGGAGCGCTGCCAGTTAGTCACCCATGCTCCTCCTCCTCCTGCCGAGAAGGTGCTGGAACCGGCTCTTTTGTTGGTACTCCAAAAGCCGGGATCAAATTGTTTCCTCTCATCTGGGAGGCTCTCATCTGTTGTCTTGCCTGCCGACGCTGTTTATCGCCCATTCTTTCTTTACCTCTTCCCTATGTTATGTGGAGAACACTGCAGAAAGCCGTGCAGAGCGAACGAGATTCTTACTCTGTTTCCAAACGCAAGACATATGAGAAGATGTATCGGATCTCCACGGCCGCCTCTGCCTTGCTCCGCCTGGTACAAGACTGGTGTGCCTGGCCCATTTGGTACAATGAGCTTAATGGAGCAAGAGAAAAAGAAGAGACTGGTTCAAGCAATCTGCAAAGGTCGGTAAGGGTCCTTTGTCGCGTGCCAAGTCCTTGCGATTTTTTGGCTTCTCAGAACCGACTCGTCTTGACAGAATAAATCTCGGGAGGCTCAGAGAGTTTCTTGCTTTGCTCGGGACGTGCATTTCAAGTCTAGTCTGTCCCATATCGGAATATGTTGCGATCTGTTCCAATATCAATGTTTTTCGGAAGCAGAGGATATTGAACTCGTTTGGGTGAATGAGAAATGACCCTCGACGTGAGCCACTGATTCAAGATTGCGCCCACCGGGAAACGGGGTATGTAGATCCCTATGTGTCCCCACGCTCCATGTTGCCACAAGACCGAATTTGCAAAGTTGACATTGTCGAGTTTGCTTTCCCCTAGACAAACCGCATTCTCCAAGTCAAGGTCGCGTGCGGAACAGGCCGTCCAGAAGCTCCACCAACCAATCTTAGCTGCATGGAAGGTGAATGGACATATCGTGGTCGTCTGGCTTTGTTGGATCATGATCAGTGACCAACATACTTCTTGACAGATGCCTGCGAAACGAGTAAGCGTGTTTGGCGATTGATTTGTCGAATCGAAAGCCATTCATCCCGATGTGTCACGGATCCCAACTATTCGGTGACCCTTGGCGTCGGCTGCGCCGCTCGTTCGCCTTGTCCCAAGCTCAAATTTGCGCAACAAAGTACCTTCCATCACCACATTACGATTATTGTTGAGTTGGTTTCGGCAAGAACATTGGCCCCTGGCGCCAGACACTAGGCGTTGCTCACAAGGTCAAATTGGTCGCGAGGCTGCTTTGGAAATCGATCACCCCCAGAGTCTCAGGGTGGAAGACGGTGCGCAACGCAGGTGCGACGAAATCCCGTCTCTACGACATTGTCTTAGTTTTCGACAGGTTGGCGAAAGGCGGGATATTCACGGCAGCGTCTCCCGCAAGGGGAAGTGTAAGACATTTGCAGTTGGTTGGGACCAAAGTAAGCAGTCGGAGCTACTTGATAGTCTCTTATTTCGGCCGTTCTGACAAGCGGGCCATGGGCGGCATGTGTGGTCGGCCGATGTGGTGAGGTAAGTGATCGACAGCGTGAGATGTCGTCTCCCTGCACCACCATGGAGTCGGTGGAGATGATTTGCCATGGAACAGGAAAAATTCGATATCACGGCATCCATTTCTGACACGGGAGTCTTGGAAACCGGGCAGATACACAGTGCCCAGACGGATCTCTCGGTCCTGGTAGCCAGGGGTTTCATCAACTGCCAGTGAACTCGACTCAAGGTCTACACTCCATTTTGTTGTCAGAATGATTCGTGTCTCTTGCTTTAAGTTGATGAGTTTGGATTTGGGCGTCCCGACCATCGCTACAAGACGGCGGTCGAGTCATTCTACTTCGTAAGATCCTCGCAAAAGCTGAGCTGCAGGTCAGGCACTACCTTAGATGGAGATCTCACAATGGTGTGTGTAATATTGCGAGGCGTTTTCAACCTATGGTCAATGCGATGCAAGACTACACCCGAAGCATGATCCAGCGTGGTGCTCACGGAACGTGTCATTGAATGCCCACCAGCCTTAGGTGATGATCCGTCCGCGGAGAGAGCTAGCTCAACATGATGTCAAAGTTGCCCGTGGAAAACGTTTGTCCGTAGTGCAGCAGCCGAGCACACCGTCGCAGCTAAAGTGTGCTCGGCAGCGGCCGCCATCGGCCGTCAGCCAGTGACTGGCTTAGTCCCTGCAAGGCAAAGTGTGGTGGGGTGTGGCGGGCTAGATTTGTAGCTTACTTTACGGATAGTGTAAGCCAGTCTCGTGGGAACTTCAGTGCTGTTAAGATAGCACGTAAGCTTCAAAACGACACCATTGGTAGGACTTTGAGTTGTTGGGGATAGTAGTTTTAGACTCTGAGCGGTCAAGATGCTGAGGTGATGGCCAATCGACGGACAGCGGCGGCCCTCGGAAACAACAGCAGAAAAAGGAAAGACCCAGCACGGCGATTTGTCTCTGACGCCACGAGGCATGTGTTGGAATGTCGTTAGCCCACAATGCTGACGCTCCTTGTGGTGGTCGTCCCGCTTTCCCTTGCGGCTCGTTGGCCGTGAGCCCAGTTCTCCTTCCAGCCTGTGATGTGCGTGTGTGCCTATGCTAAGGATCTCATGCTGGAGGTAACCGAACAAAAGGGCCAGCGAGAGAAGAAGCGAGGCGGTGGGACATGCTGTTTTCATCGTGGCAGCATTGGGATACGCTCTTGTTCAGTCACCATCTTCCCCAGGAGTCGCGCTTCTTGGACCTTTGGCTGCCAATGATCCACATAGTCGCCCATACATTTGATTGACATCCATGTCATGGTCGAAGGCGATGGCATGCTCGGCGCGTGTGGCTATCGTGAGAGACGCTGTACCTTTGTGAACGGATGCCACGATACTTGTTGGGCGGAGGCACGATGGATAAGGTCGGATCGCACCACAGGCATGTGTCCGGACCATATTACATACATACTACGAGATACATGAGCTTCTGTTCACGATGGTTGTGCTTGGACGTACCTGGTATGGATAGCTTGTCACCTCGTTCGGGGGCTTGTGGAGGCCATCGCATCTTAGTCTTACCTCCCATATGATGGCGCTAAGGAGCCATCGAGGGTGCCACGGCCCTTTGAGTGGTCTCGTCTGGCCCGCTGGATGCTGGTGATGCAGTGCGGCATGCTGATGGGAAATGCTTGTGCCAACCTGGAACCCTGTCCTAGAATGCCCGCAGCCCATCAACGTCGAGGCTTGGTCCAGTCCCTGTTGAATGTCTGTGGGATGGGCACGATGAGGGGAGGAAGGGCGGGCTCGCAGTGGAAACCCCAGTCAACCTTGTCCCTTGCTAGTGGGAACGGTGAAGGACAGGGCCTGTCCCCGGTACCCTCTTCCCCTAGAATGCCACCCTTGTTTGTATGTCGGCGTCTTTTTGATCTTCTTGCTTCTCCAACGGGCTCGCAGATTCGCAGGCTCGCAATGTCCATGAGGCAGGTGTGTGTTCGCTCGTTAAAGGTCAATGTGTCTCCTGCGCAAGACATAGAGGTCGGGCGCTGGGAAGGATTCGTGTTGATGTTGCTCAGGCTGTATACCTAGGTCTTGGGCACCTCGTGAGCATACTACTTTGTATGTAAGGAAGCACATGGCAATTACCTTGGCTTTGCAGAGGCATTGATTGTATGTGCGTGTGTGCAAATGGCGACCAGGCACGACTGTTTGTACTTGGTGGAAATAAGAAACGAGTCATCCACATGGAAGATAAGGTGGAACTCAAATAGTGTTCGCGCGCAATATTCAGAGGAAGGCGAGGTGCAGATACCTAAAGGAGACACACAGACGACGTCGAAGACGGAGACGAAGGAAGAGAGAAAGAGAAAGAGAAAAGATGAGGAGTCTCAAAGCGTCAAGCCTATCTACCTTACCTTAAGGCAGATAGAGGTAGGTACCTCGGGTTATCCGTATCTTCCTCCTGTCTCCAAGGTACCCAAAGCGCCTTCCATTCCTTTAGGTAAAGTGAGGCAGGTTCATCACCACGGCAGCTTGAGGCTGAGGTTGTTCTTGCTTCTTTGATATCATCTTCAGTAACGTCACGGGGCGGACCTGCCGCGTGCTGAGAAACCGCAAAGTAAAGGGGAAAGAACATCCGATCCTGGTCCCAGGTTCCTCCCCAATCTAGGTACCTCAAGGAACCTCAAGACGAGGTAAGCAGCACCTTGGCTCTGCTCTTGGGGGCAGGTTTTCCCAGAGAACTTCAGAGAACCTTCATCTCCATCTCAATTTCGCATCTCCAGGTCCTTCGATTGACGTTCAGTCTGTGTTGCTTTCCAAGATTCCTTGCCTCAAGGTATCAGAAAGATGCTGCTTCATATCTTACATCGGACACTAGGCATCCCGTGTGTGTTCGAATCTGCGCAAAGAGCAAGGTACGTATCACCTCATCCAGGACATTCCCAAACTAAATTTCCCAGGTTTTTGAAAGACATGCCGCTCCCGTGGCCCCTCGTGCGGGTACGCAATATTGCCATGGCATCGTTGACCTACTTTACGACGGCACACCCGCGGCACCCTATCCATTACCTATCGACTTCCCATGTTGTACCTCTGCCCGCGACCAATCCATAGCAGACGGGGAACCCACCGACCGTCAACTGAGGGATTGTTGACCAGTCCAACAGATTGAGATGGCCAATCGACGTCCGCGATTTAGGGGAAACCTGGCGCCGACCTGGCCAGACCGCCGCAGTCTGCCTTTGACGACCAGGAATCCAGGACTCTAGGAAGCACGTCTAGGGCCGACTGCAGACCAGGATCGTTGGGCTCGCGCTCTTGTCTCTGTATCTCGTCCGACTTTCCTTTGTCTCTTCCCTCTCTCTTGTTCTGCGGCCTATCCTTGACCCGACGACCCTCGAGCCTTGTCATCTGTTCGAAACGGTACCTATCCGACGATGCACACAACTTTTCGACCTATCCGCAACCCTCGTCTTCTCAGTCTTCTCTTGCTGTGCCATTTTGGCGAAGTCCGCACACTCTTGGCTGTTCGGGGCCGACGATTCATCTGTGGGTACCAAAAAGAGGTGCCTGACATGGCGATATACCGCAGTAGAAGGAAAAAGACATGGGCCAGGGGGTGCGTTTTCCCCCTCTCAATTGTCGTCGCTCGCAATGCGCCCTCGCAACTCACCATCCACAGGCTGGACCTCAATTAGCAATTATGTACACTGGACGTCCGTATCCATTCCCGTCCCCGTTTTCCCCGTCATCCCCGTTGACAACGTTCCCATCCCATGTCTATCCGTATGTATTCTGGATGCCTATGCCCCCCCCCCCCCCCCCCCCCCCCCCCCCCCCCCCCCTCCTCCCCCCCCCCCCGGCTGGCGCCGCGGAGTCTGTGTTCGCCGCCTCCCCCCCCCCCTCAACCCCCCCCCCCCCCCCCCCCCCCCCCCCTTGCCCAGTCTCATATCTCGTCACTGCCATCACGGGCGGTTTGCTGAGCGCGATGCTCTGCTTGGTCTCTGGATATCCCACCATCGGGATCACAAGTTCACAACCACCCACACAGCACGCTACGGATACCATGTCATGTCATGTCATACATAGTACGAGTACTTACCGGACTATGCAGACTTGTATCAGAACACCAGCCAACCATTGTGAGGCACGGCACCCCATATTCAGTACTTGCCCACTGCATCACACAATGAAGCCTCGTTGAGTTTGAAGGCTACGGTATGTACTACGTACAGTACCGTACGGCTACGGGTACTTTGCCCCTTCTTTCTTCTTTCTTTCTCTATCCGTCCATCTCCAAATGCTCTGCCATGGCCCATTTCTATCCCCTGGCTTCCCTTGCCTTACATGGGATGCATGTATCTGTACGGATACCTGATGTTTCTTACATGGAGTTTGCAACTCTCTCGGCCCAAGTACCTACCTTACCTCCACGGATGAGTACTCGGTCATGGACGGCAAGGTACTTTCGCCTTGCTCCAACTCCAGCGCCGGATGATGCCATCCAGTTCCTCTTCGTCTTGTCGCGGTCCTGATATTGTTGTTTCCCTTGAACATCCCTGTCTCAATGCCGTTGCCGACGTTGTTGCACCTGCACATGCGGCTGCTTGTGCCGTTACTCCAGTCTTGTGTCATGCTAGCTCCCATCGCCTGTTCTTGGTGCAACCATGGTTACCTACCTACTTTGATCCCAGAGCAAGATACGATACGGATACGCTGCCTGTCTTTTTGTCTGCCGGGCCTCATCCACCTTGCCGACGCGTGTGGACGCAACACAAGTTGACAGGCTCGGAACTCTGATTATCATCATTCGCCCCTATGTTTTCTCCCGTCCATTCCCCTAGTACTTACACCTGCTCTCCTCCCTTCTTCTTTCATCTTCCATCTTTTTTTTCCCTCTTCCTGGGAAACTCGCCTCTCGCCTTTCACCTTGCTCTCCCTTTTTCTGCGAATTGCCATTGGAGAAGGTTGACAGACCAGCATACCTACTCTGTCCCCTAACCAGCTGCTAGCCATCTATCACCCATCGTGTCAACTTGACCGCAGCCAGGTAGGTAGACCCTCACCTACCCAGCCACCAAGCCATCGTCAGCAAGCAGGCAGTACAACCGCGATACCGGGCTCGACTGCCCTACCCTATCTGTACCTACCTGTACCTACCTTACTCTCCGATCTCCAGCTGCGGCACGGCACTGCACACTCACATCACATCACATCGAATTCCTCCACATCCTCTGTCATCCGCCATTCGTCGGAGGCACCTCAGCTCGGCTCGCCGAGAGGCCGGAATCAAGAACCAAAACCCAGATCCAGTCGGTCCAGGACACCCATTCGAGCTGTATTCAGCACGGCAATGAGCACCACCACATACGCCAATTGCCAAATCCAGACAGGAGGTCAGACTAGGCTACAAACCACCAAGACATTTTGGCAATAACAGTCTTTGCCGCAGGCAGTGACAGGCACATTCGGAGTACTTCCTATTAGTCTAAGGCAGTGAGAGTGTTAGCATCGGACCACCTCCACAAGCGAAGCCCGGACCCCAGAGTCGATCGCACAAGCTGGCTTGCTCTCGCGACTGTCGCAACGAGGATTCACACCAAAGGAACGTCAACGTCCAAGGCCGCGCAGACGGAAAGCACAAGGCCAGCCAGACGCACCCCGGAAAACCATAGGTCACATTATTGTTCCTTTTTAGCCCCTCGGACGGCCATCGAATTTCTGCACTACTATCACCCCTGTTGCGGGCCTTTCTATTCGTCATCTCAAGCCAAGCTGCATACAAGCGGCTCACTATTGGGGGGAGGGAATGTACTAGTCGGGTTGCTTTTGAGCTGACCTGACCTGATCCCCGACCCGATCTAGAGGAGGAGACACACACACACACACTTTCAGAGACAGAGCAAGGAAGAAACAGAGAAGCCGAATACCTACCTACGAACCTGTCTGGCTCGGCCTGGGAATTGTTTCGACTGTATCTCTGCGTGGTAGGGTAAATTAGAGGGGCGGCCCGTCCTTCTACTTGTTAATTGCCGTGAGCTTTCCTTACCCCGTCGTTGGAATCTTGTAAGAGTTCCTTCTGGAGAGCAGATTGGACTGATTGCTGTCTGGCTCGTTGGATCGCACCCGTCACATCGTCCGACTCCCCCGACTCAGACTCGACTGGGCGCGACTCAACTCACACTCGCCTCGCCCCTTTTTCAGTCATCCCCTTCCCTCCCTTTTCTCTCGTCGTTTCAGCGATCATCCCGTTTTCCTTTCTTTTTCCTTTGCTTCCACAGTCTCTGGCCGTCGTCCCCTTGTGCCAATCACCTCAGACCGACTCAGGACCGGAGACGCGGCATAAGACATACTGCATGAGTCGTCAGCAATAGCGGCATCAATAGCAGCAATATAGCCGGTAGCGCCCACAGCGCCCACAGCTGCTGCATCGCACCGAACCGCACCGCAGCGCGCAGCGCATCACATCAGGTATCTTGGCTGGGTCTTGGAACGACAGTCAAGAGAGACACAAGACAAACAAAAAAAAAATCAGCCTTGTTGAGACCCTCGAGTCGGCAAAATCAGACGCCAAAGTGCAGGGCATAAGGAGCGAGAGCGCAAGCGAGGCCATGTTCCAGCCTCAACCAACGCCTTTTGCGTTTCACGCCTCGGCACACAACCCATACTCTCACCCTCATCCCCACGGTCATGGTCAAACGTACATGCAAAGCCAGAGCGGCTCGCCGCAGGATCACCGGCCTCAGAACAGCGGAGGCTATAGCATCAGCACTGGGGCAGCAGGGTTAGGAGAAATGATGATGAGGAACGAAGAAGGCGGAGGAGGAGCAAGAGGAAGAGGGGTAGGAAGAGTGGAGATGAGGATGAGGATGGGTATGGCGGGCGATGGTGTCGGAGGAGGTGCATCTCACGACGCCGGCATTGATACAGGAATGGCGGGCTCACATTACGGCTACTTGTCGTCAGCGAGAGCAGAGAGGGGATCAGGAAGCGGCCCTATTTCTGGCTCTGGCTCTGGCTCTGATTCTGATGCTGTTTCTCGTTCTGGTGGTCGAGGCCATGGACATGGTCTGGGTCGAGGTCATGGCCAAGCTGGAGCTGTTGGAGCTGGCATGGGAGCTGGAGCTGGAGCTGGAGTGGGTTCATCGTCGGGTGCATCGTCGGTGGGACTGGACAGCATGGGTAACCCCCTGGTGATGGGCGGCGGCGGTGGTGGTGATGGTGGTGATGGTGGCGGCGGCGGCAGGCTAGGGCTGGGGATGGGGATGGGGATGGGACAGATGGGCATGGGCATGGGCAACCTGAACGGCATGGGTATGGGCCTGGGCCACAGTGGGCTGTCCCTGTCGGCGCAGTCGCAGCCGCGGTCGCAATCACTGTCACAGTCGCTATCTGGTGTTATGGGGATGGGCGGGGAAGCTGCAGGCACACACAGCCTGAATGCTGCGTCGTCGCCGGCCGGACCTGGAACCTCGCTAATGACAGGAGCAGCACAACAGCAGCAGCAGCAGCAGCATCAATACCAACAGCGCCAACAACAACAGTATCCTGGGCGGCAACAGCAGCAGCAAAGACAGCTAGTCTCATCAGCAGCAACAGCAGGAGCAGTGGGAGGGCCGTTGGCGACAACACTAATAGCGGCTACAGCGCCTATGGTTGGCCCCGGCCCGGTCGCCGGCCGGGCTCCAGCTGTCACCAGCACCAGCACCAGCACCAGCACCACTCCCGCATCGCGCGCAGTTCAGGTTCAGGTTCCTGTTCCTGTTCAGAGTCAGGTTGCTGCACTTGCACATCATCATCATCAGCAGCAGCAGCAACAGCAACAGCAGCAACGGCAGCAACAGTCTCAGTCTCCTTCATCTGCCTCCACTCCTCCTCCTTCACTACTACTTCCTCCAACCACCACTTCAACCACCACCACCAACGCCAACGTTGTCTCTGGCGTTTCCGCCGTGGCTTCGGCTGCTACTTCTGCTGCCCACTTGCACCTTAACAACCACCATAACAGCCCCGGCGCTGCTTCTGCTCCTGCCTCATCCTCCTCCGCGTCTTCTTCCTCCTGCTCCTCCTCCTCCTCCCGCTCCCTCTCCCGCTCCTCCCACCCCCATTCCCACTCCCACTCCAATTCGTCCTACGGATACTCCCACGCCAACCTTTACTCCAACCACAACCTCCTCCACGGACACCTCCAGCAGCAACAACACCCTCCTCCTCCTCATCCTCACCCCGGCGCCTCTTCTTCGACAACATCCTCTTCTTCTGCCTTTTACACCACCAACTCCAACGCCAACCCAGGCTTCGCAAACACCGCCGCCGCCCTCGCTCCTGATCACGCCCACGCTCCAGCCCACGCCGTGAGCAGCACTCGTCGTCCTTGCGCCATGGAACCCGGCGACCCCTCCGACGTTGCC